CATTAGCACTTAGAGCTGCTCTCTGCTGACAGACACTCAGCTCCTGGCCTGTGTTAGGGTTTGAAAATCCTACTTTAGCGTTAGCATTAGCCTCAGGCAGCTAGCTAAACCAGACAGCCACCAGACACCTTTTCACAATCTGATGCTGCAAAACTTATCAACACGACTGCCACAGTTAGCAGTTCAGTATCAGGTAGATGGGCTAATTACACGCAGTATTGGCGGTCAGTAAACACACCTGTGACTCCATCTCACTAAACAGTAAGAGCCACCACCTGGTGGAGCAACCAGGTACTACAGCGAATCTACAGTGCATGTTCTGATGTGCATGTCCCTCCTCAGTTAAAAATGTTTTGAATCAGCTAAATGATTGACAGCAAATAATTGATTAACAATAATTCAATAACAGGCCTAGTTTCAATTGTGGCTAATTTGTAACCACACCTGACTGTGATGTTATTCTGCACCAACACACCCAAGAGGACTCTTCTACACTGCAAGGCAGAAGACAAGCCAGTTAAAGCATTAGAGTTTTGTCCACTAGTAGCACACAAAGCACTCTTTCTGTTTTTTGGTTCTGTACACAAGCGGGCAGGTGGCACAATCCAGATGACGGCTTTACTCTCGTCCACCTATTTACATGTGCTGGTGCTGTGTCTAAAATGCTGCAATGAGTCAAGATATCCAAGAAACAAGACGTGGTCTAGCAGATTCCCATGAACGTGAACGATGGAGAGTGAAGGATGTTGCAAACGTTTTATGCGGAAAGAACTGCATATTTGTTGTTAGGTAACACTGAATGTGAAAATTCCAGAAAACAAACACTGCCCGTTCCAAGTAGCAACTCGTTTTATTTTTTTAAACTTATTTGGTAAAGCAACTCAGCACTACATGAACACATATTGTTTTAAAAAATATAGTGCAAACTAACACCACCAACATAACAGCAGCTCAGTGTATTTAGAATACTTTATGTCAGAACTATCAGAGTCTGTCCCAACCAGAAAAGAAGCTTTACAGATCCTGTACAAACTGTAAACACAATTGTATATATTTTAAATGTATAGAAATTACATGTGACTCTAAACCGTTGTAATTTCTTTCTGGTGTGTGTTTCTGCTTCGGTATGTCGTCTGTATGTGCAGCTGCAGCAGAGAGAGCAAATTAACAGGGCTGGCTGTGAACTAATGGGGCCTGGCAGTATCATACTCCCAGCTCTTAAGGGAATACCTCTCCTCTCCTCTCC